GTTGATGGCACCGCCAAAAGTAAGGTTTTCCAAGACAAAATGAATTCTCAGGATTTGAACCGAAGAATATTTTCTTCGTTTGTTTTAATGAGAAATTTGGTAGAAAATTAATTTTTGTAAATGTTGACCCTAATCAAAAATTTTTTTTCTCAGATTTTCCCTAATCATACATTACGCATATCGCAAATTAATTCGGCTGACGAAGGTCTTTACTATTGCAATGTATCGAACAAGTATGGTATTAATCGAGCTGTCAATCGACTACAAGTTTTCAGTAATCTTATTCCTAATTAATATTTAAGTTTAGTTGGTGAAAAGCGCAGATCAAATGTTTTGTCATGTTTTCCTTTCTTAATTATTATTTATATCCACTTTTTATTCAACAGGTCCAACGCATTTCATTCGTATACCAACTCCAAAGAAAGCAATTCTGGAAGCACATGAATCAGTGGAATACGTATGTGAGGCAGTTTGTGATCCTCGACTTACAATTGAATACTCTTGGACCCATAACGGAATACCAATTAATGATTCTACCTATTTTAAGTATGTTTCGTTTTGATGACTTTTGAAATGTTTGAATCGCATTAAATAATTTAGAAGCAATTTATTTCTGAATCCATTATGATCTTTTCTCTCCTCGCTGTATTTCGATGTTTTTTTAATTTCCAGTTCTAGTCATTCAGTCATGCAATATTCTAGTCATGCTAAATTCTGAGGAGAGTAGAAATTTTATATTTATATATTAAATTCAAAATTTTTCAGATTATTAAACAATTCTCTGTTAATCGCTGATGCACGTAGCTTTCATTCAGGAGCCATTGATTGCATCGCTCTTACCGATGTTGATGTCAAGATTTCAGGAATTGAATTAACTGTACTTGGTGCTAATTTCACTTCAGCTTTCGGCATCTTTGTATATTTTTTTCAGAAATTTATGAGAAAATCTTCCAAAAGCTCTCTTAAATACTTGAAAATTACATTTTATGTTTTATGATTTTTTTCAATTGAATTAATCAAATTTACAGATGTGCCCGGTGCGCCATTAGTAACAGAAATACATTGCAACGAACGAAAAGCATTGATAAGATGGCGTCGACCAGATGATCATGGTGACCAAATCAAACAGTTTCTGGTTCAAATGCATACTGAATTTAAAGAAGTGCGTTTTATTTAAAAAAAAAGATTCCTTCTAGAATTTAGTTTCTGAAAAAATCGCGTTTGAACTTCAGGGATTATGGCAAACTGTTGTAGAGCAAGAAAATACTGCTGCTGATTTTTATCAAGCGGATATTGCACTTTCACCGTGGGTGAGAATTTAAAATTTTGGCTTCCAGGCAGAATACAATGATAAATGTTGAGACTTTTAGGAATGGGTTATCTAACTCATTTAGACCAACTTCCCTTACCTAATGAGTGATCAATTTAGTAAACTTTGTAAATGAACAGTCATATTTCAGGTGAATTACACATTTCGAGTAATAGCCCGAAATTCATATGGTGAAAGTGAGCCAGGCTTTAAGAAAGGGAAAGTGTGTTCCACGAAGGCTTACTATCCGTATACAAATCCAAAGGATGTCCGAGCGGAAGGAAGTGAACCAAACAATATGATTATCGAATGGAAGCCTATGGATAAATATGATTGGAATGGTCCAGGATTACAGTACATTGTCCGTTATAAGCTTAATGAACCAGGAGAAACTTGGACAGAAATACAAATTGAAGATCCTTTAGCCGTAAGTATTTGTTGAATACTACTTCATTTTAGTTCGTATGGTCATAAAAGAATATCATATTTATTTGAAAGTTTTCAGAATCATACAGTTATTCGGGAACAGCCAACATTTCGAGAATACTTAATTCAAGTTGAATCTTTGAATAGTTTTGGTCGTGCGATTGTAAAACCAGCAAGTGTTAAAGGATATTCAGGAGAGGATGGTAAGTTCTCCAGAATTTAAATGCAAAAATAAAGAGTTCTTTCAAATCTCAAAATGTCCTTCTAAACTCAATATCTTTGCAGCACCATTATTGTCGCCGGTTGATTTCAGCGTTTCGGAATTCATAAATTGTACTGCTGTTCTTCTTACATGGAAACACGTGGATCGGCAGTCTATACGTGGTCATTTTAAGGGCTATCTGGTAAATTTGTATGCCTTGTTTTCTAAGCTTCTCAAATAAGATACGAGTAAATCATAGTTGCTTGCTCATATAATTTCATCTTGACACTGCCTTTATTTTTCTTTTTTTTTAGATTGACTACTGGGAAAATGAAAAGCCATTTGCTATAGTAAATGTTGGAATTGAAAAACATAAAAACAGTACGATTCTTCATGGTTTAAAGCCGATAACGAGCTATACAGTACGCATTAGAACAGCGAATAGTCGGTACCTTAGTGAATTGCCAACAGCAATCAAATTTACAACTCCCGAAGGAGGTAAGAAATAATAAAATTCTCGAAAACTAATCGCAATAAATCTAACTACTAATACTGCATATGTTATAGTACCATCAAAAGTACATAATATGAGGGTACGAGCAGTTGGATCAAGAAGTTTGTATGTTACGTGGGAACCACCACGACAACCAAATGGATACGTCCGCGGCTATTTCATTACTTTTGAAAGTATGGCATTCTTTCAATAGTTAACTATTTTTAATAATTTTCTTGAGTCGTAGCATTAAGCGAAAGTGCTATTTAGATTCCCTTGTCACGAATTCCTGTTTTAATTTTTGAAATGAATAAATTTTAAGATTCCTCAACAGGCTTAAAAGATGAAACATTTGTGCTAAATCGACAGCTTTATTATTTAAATGAGGAAGGTGAGCCAGATACTGGATATAAGGTTTCTGTTTGGGCAGAAACGAAGGGTGGTGAAGGATTAAAAGTTGTGCGACCAGTACGAACTTGGCCACTTCGAGGTATTTCATGATTCATTTCAATTGTGCAAAAATCTTGGAATTTCGATGTGGTGGATAAAATAAATGCTTAAAGATAGCTAACAGTAATTATAATAAATTTTTTGTGTGAACTATAAACTAGTATAAACAACAAAATGTTGCAATGGTCTCCATTATATTGTTCCGAACTCCTCCGCCTTATGGGGAATACAAAATAAGCATTTTGCCATAAGCATCAGTAATTGGTATGCAGGTATCGAATCTGTTCTTTTTTTGAAATTTCCAGAACATACATATAATGCCGGTAATTTCCTTATTCCAGAATGAAAACAAATCATCCACATCTGCCTTTAATTCTAAATATGTTTGCAGAACCGGACATACCAAATTTCACTGTCGAAGCAATTTCGCCTACTACTGCTCGAGTTCAATGGTTACCCTCGAATGGTTCCGAATGGGCTATGCCAGGACCTACTTTTCTCGTTAATTATTCCATTGCTAGTAAGATTTCGTCTTAAAAATTAAGCAAGTTTGAGAATTGCTCATTCTTTTGCAGTTATTGTAGTAATGGAGAATTCAATAATCGCTCGTTAATTTTAGCAAAATTCAGATAGCAATGACTGGATAGAAAGTGAGCAAATAAGCTTACCTCGAACTGAGGTCTTGCTAAACGGTCTAGAAGAGGACACACGGTATAAAATAATTGGTATCGCTAAGGAAGGTCAAAGGCAACGAACATCCGAAGTAATCACAATACGAAGTCTAAGTCGAGCTACGATCACGCAGATCTCTCATGGTATGAATACTTCAGATACGTAAACAAATTAAAAATGAAAAGGGGGCTGGAAAAGTTAGTAGTGCAATTTTCAAAATGCTATGCAATTTTCGAAAGTCACTTGATGTTTAAAGATATGCGTGCACAAGATGTAATGGAAAGGTTTAATTCATGCTCATCGTTACTTATATCCGAATTGAATCTGCACTGCAATAGAGTCGTTTCCTCACTTTCTTATGATTAAACGGAGAAAGTAAACTTGAATATAACGGACCATCTCTGGCATGAAATCCGACTTGAATATTTCATCGGTATATACGAGGTAGCAACAGCTGAATGTTACTGCGACACTGCAACGTTTCTGCACTTGAATACTGCGAAAAATCCTCAATGAAATTAAACATATTGTATTTGATCTACATAGTAGGTCGAGAAGTCTTCCCTTCAAATGAACATTTATGACTATTGCTATTCGTACAGTGCAGTGAATAATGGAATATACACTAATTCGTTGTTTGCAGAAAGCTTGAAAAGTGCAGCCTGGTTCATCGCAGTATTGAGTGCAATAATGCTTGCATTATTCATCGCAGCAGTAATGTGTTGCTGCGAACGACAACGAAGTAATAAATATTCCATTAAACAAAAGGAGCTGGAACGAGGCGATCATATCGATATTGAAGAGGATCAGTGAGTTTCTGAATTTTTTTAGATTTTCGAATTAATTGGAAGTTTAGAATTGCGAGATATTTTCAGATTCTGCATTTAGAACTATTTCTCAAATTTGTTCATCTACCAATTCACTTCCGCTTTCTTACTATTTCTAGAAATTTTATGGAATACCTATATGGATTCAAATGATTAACACATACTATCGCTTGCTGCATATGACAAAATTCCATCCAGTAAATCATGCCTATTTCCATTGTTTGTTTCTAATTTATATACTGCCCTATTAATTCAATTCACATCTATGGATCTATGTCAATATGTGCGTGATTATGTATGTATCCATTCTTATATTTTTAATAACATGGACATGTAGGAGAATACCTGCCTCTGTTTACTGAGTTATCATTTTGGTGCAGCGTGTCTTCCGGCATAGATCAGATTGCATACCGCATGTATCTGAACAATTTTTCTATAAAGCCAATGCCGACCTTCAAATGTTTTATTCAACTATTTTGTTGAGGAGTTAGAAATGCATTACAATTATTTCGGGCAGAATGGATTGGTTCAGTCAATTTACTCAGCAAAACTGAACAATGATCAGTAGCATCTTTCGATCATTTTGATATTATTTAAAATCTAAGAAATCTAACAGCATTTAAGATTAACATTGTTCCTAATGCATTCCTAGCTGTTAACTATCATTTCTTTTCATTAAGCAGATAGGAATGCACTGACGCTATTATCGGTCACTCTTCTGTGAGATAAGTTGAACAATCTGTTCAAATCTTCAGAACTAGTTATTTTCTCTGAAAAAAAATTCATCACTGCCTTTTTGTTTAGACCATAATTCTGTTTCATTATGATTCTATATTTAAAACAAAGTATAACTATCTCCAATAGTTTATTCAAACTGTACAGCAGCATAAATATGGTTCACATCAGTCTCATTATAAGAAAGTAAATATTTCAAGCATTCAATTATTCCGCGTGTTTCAGCGCTCTGATCAGTAGAAAGTTGTTTCAGCAAACAAATACCATTACTTCTGACCCATTCATATAAATGATTTTGCAATGAACGATGTATCCTCCCATCGCAAAGATTCTACCGTATGAAAATGATAGTTGTAATAAGACACAGATCATTCAATAAATTTGAGAGAAAGAGAGTGACATAACATATATTTGAGAAAAAGGTAAATTAGAGCTGGCGAAAATGGCAGACTGGAACAGAAGTGGACACGTATTTTGTTAAGTAAACTAAACGAACGAGTTTTGCAGCACTTTTCCCAATTCCAACCAACACAAATAACTCTCATGTATCTATGAATGAAAACGAATTTAACCCTAAAACATAAGCAAAGGTCAAAGGTCGATTGGACATTATCAGATCTCATTGTTGAAATATATTGCGCATCCTGCAAGTAACTTCCACTTCCGTTCCACATTCTAAAATAGTTATTCTACTTGAGAATTAGTTTGAAACAATGGCTTACTTCTATTGAAGGAACGATGTAACGATGAAAATCTTCAGTGGACAATCGGGGAGAAACGGCAACATTTCGGAAAAAATCTGCTACTTTTATGCGATACTTTTTGATGTCTTTTGCGAATAGAAGTTTTGATGATGGACTTTCCTGGAATAATAACGATTTTTTGAATGATTCTAGAAATTGATTCTATAAGAAAATTTATGTATTTTTTTACCTTTCCAAATTTATAGTTAGCATTGCTGAAAGCATCGACCAATGTTTGAGCAATAACCGCTAGTGAGCTATCCACTGCTGGTATCCGTTCAACATCTAATACGTAATTAATATTTGATAGAATGTTTACCCAAAACCGCAAGATCCAAAGATTTACTTTCCAGGATCGAACTGCCATTTCATCCATAAACTATACATGTGCAAATCCATCATATCAATTTAAAATGCTACAGATATTGCTTAAAATCTAACAAATTAAAATTACAATCAGCAAAATATTTTCTACTTACTATTGCCTTAGATTAATGAAATTTCAAAGCGGTAAATTTACATGGAAAAGTAAATAAAATGATGTACATTATTCCTGGTAGCAATTTCATCGAAAGTGTGGAACACGAATAATAGAAGTTGTGGGTACTCAAAATCCTTCGCATATAATACGGATTCCAGGAAATCATCCATAAATTTTTGCACCATTCCTTTACTGTAAAATGTAATTCACTTTTACACTCAGTTCTCAAGATAATACATTTTAATTTTTTCTACAGCAACATTACCAAGTATATGCTTCAAACATAAATTTCAGAAATTTCTTTAACGGTCTTAGAGTTAAATTAGCTTTTAATTTCTCTCACTGAGAAATTAAAATTGAAAAATAAACCTTGTGAGTAATCGTGTGAGGAATATTTCCGGTATAGATGTGCTTGCCGAATCATCATCCTTTCCAACGCAATTTTCTATTGAGAGAGGTTGTTCCAGATGATAATATTGAATTGGATGCGTATTGCTCTTCGAATTGGATACTTTATCGAAGTATTCTAAAAATGAATTTGAATTTCAAATAATAAAATTTATTGCAAATGAAAATGAAAAAACGCTTGAGAATGCATTTTTAGAAATTAAGGAGAAATGTGAACTTCAATTAGCGCTCAGTATCAAAACTCCTCACATTTCTTCTAACACCCATATATACTCGATAATTTTGTGTCTCCCCATTTATGTGGAATACAAGCTATCCTACAATCAGTAATCTATTTTCTGAACTAAGAAAAATGAACCGAGAATATAATCCGGCAACCGAAAAATACTATAATCTGAGCTTTTCCATTGCTTTATCATAAAAACGTTCTCAATTATTAACAAATGCCGCCTGGAATATTATATGAATGGAAATTATACTTTGATGTGAGCTTGTGCTAATTGGCTTCATGGCGAGTAACGCATTTTCTTTTATATTGTAATCATCCAAGCATTTCAGTTTTTTTATTTCACCTTCTTCTAATCCATCATCATCTGCTAGAATGATTGCGCAATGCTCGGAACATATCCATTCTTAATTAACAAATTTATTTTCACTTTAATTTTTCAAAAAAAGAAATCATAAAAATAAATGACTGAAAGTCAAGTTTCTCTTCAAATTTATTTATATGATTCAACAACCTTAATTCATTACCTAAATGAAATTGATCCACGCTTAGTCGAGTGGAAAATGGTTCATTGGAGTAAATAGTATCCAATAGTTTTTTTTTAACTTGAGTAATCGTATCACAACTTAATGCCCGAAAAATAATCGGCGATTGCTTAAAACTATCAAAAGGGATCACGAGTAATTGCTGCAAAATTGTTAATTACTGCCAGCAAATCAGCTCTATAAATTTTCAATTTTATGAAGTTTAAATTTATGTGGGAAAAGCTTAGGAATGACTATCTTTGGACATTTATCTTCAAATAATGACTTCTGAAGCTAAGATAACTAATTTCAACAGCATTCTGTAGGAATCACTAAGAATGTTGATCTATTTCAACAGTAATGTAAATGCTGTCAAATAGATCGCACATTGTTAACTAAAATAAGTTCAGAATACTAAAGCTTTCACGTTGGTACCATTTCTACCATTTGCTAGTCTACTGGTATTACTGGTCAACAGTGGGCTTGCTTAAAACCTCCTTAGCTTGCTTAAAGTATTGAGCTTAATTTAGTTAGATTTATAAAGTCAAGAAAAAATCGAACCATGCTTGTAACATCAAGTGGTCTTCTAAGAAGTTTTGATTCATTCAATGAATATCGTGCATCACCGGTTATAGCATCGACTGGACCGCGTTCAATTTGACATTTTAATGCTTTATACAACAAATACATGGATTGGCCTGGACCATCTTTTAAATATTCCAAAAAACATAGACTAAACCAAACGGTAAAAATTTGCTCTGCTAGAGAACCACTTTGACGAAATATAATATGAGGTTCGCATTTCTGAAAACGATTAATTTTAATTATGGTTGTTTATTTTTAGAATAGGAACATTGCCCGCTCAAACAAGTTGCAAGTTGCAAATGCAAATGTAATGTTATTGATTACCAAATGTGCAATTAAACCTTTGCATCCAAAATATTTCGATTTTGTGCTATGTTAGCTTTAATTAAAAGCAATATAGGCTCGAGCTTAGGTTTGATTCCACATGAAACTAATGTATTACATGGATATAAAAAATTGATTACACACATAATTTACCGTTGAATCAGTTAGAAGATACCATGTCCAAAAAGTTATTGCTAACTAATCAATTCGAATAAGTTATAAGTCGCTCTTTCCTAGATTCCAACAGATTTAAAAAAAATGGAAGTCCACTAAAAATTACTTTAAGAGATAACAAAATATGATGATTCAATATAGCGAAAACAACTTCAGTACAATAGCGCATGTCATCAAGTAATGAGCCAACGATAAGCGATGACAAAGCACATTTGTTCTCTAACGTATAGCATGTATCACTGTCAACCATTTCAACAAGTTTCAACAGGAATTGGGTACTTTTGAGAAGATATTTGAAGTTAGACAATTTGGCCAATGCACCGTCAAAGTTCAGAGAACTGGAAATAAGTGTACTATTTGAGATAATTGATCCTAATTTTATATCATAAGTGAGTTAAAATTTTAAACGACAGAGTGGAAGTAACAACAATGACAACAACTGCGCATTATGCTACTTACGGAGCACTGATTTTCAAACATATGAAATAAAACAAAACAAAAGAAACCTATCGAAACATTGTCGATTGCGCAACAAACCACTATATAAAGTTGAATTTCTGAACAGAATTCGGATATAGAATTCAGTTTTATTGTGAAATGGAATAGGATGATTGTCGGTAGTCATTTTTAAATCAGCCACACCGGTTTGCAGCTCCGCAAAAGCCTGTAAAAAAAGTGAAATATTTCTCTTTTGTGGATGAATTAGTTTGTCCGAATCATTGAAGACAAATATGATTTACCTGTTTGCATTCATTACGTACACTATATTCAAGTTCCTCCATTTTCATTTGTATTCTTTTGTATTCTCGTTTCCGTTGATTTTTACTTCTGTACAGAACATAGAATAACAAACCGATAACAAACAAACAAGCAGTTGTAAACAACAATGCAATTAAACGTATCATTGAAACTCTGAAATGAGATGATTTTGAGAAAACTTCTAAACTGTAATTAGAACTGAATTTAATTAGCAAAATATTTATAAAAATGTCGAAAATTTTTCACGATTAAACAAAATAGTTTATATAATAAATTTAAGTTCAATATGAAGTTAATATCCTTACCGAAATGAAACCTCATATTCCACAAAACCAAGTTCATATCGGATGGTACCCAAAATAACAACAACTAATGGATGACCTTCATCGACGACATTTCCTTTCTCATCCGTTGCTTCGGGTTGAATTTGTGGAGCTCGGCAGAATAATTGTTCTGCTTCGAGTAACACAACTATACACCGTGATGTACCGATGAAAATCTTTAAATAAAATTTTATAAAGAATACAACAGGATGTAATTTCCTATAAAAATATTAAAATAGTGCTGATTAAAAAAAAATGTTTAATCCTAAATTTAATCATTCAAAGCATTGAAATTCTGATCAAGAGTAAAAAACCTGATATTCTTCAGCGGTAGCTGCAAGAGATAATTGATTTCCTTCCAACAGTAATAATTGTTCAGGCCTGTGAATGCGAACATTTTTGAATAGAAGAAATTGCGGGTCGGATACAACAAATAATTGCATTCGTCCACCAAAATCTCGAACAGATTGTACACCATCCATTGCAAATGCTACTGGCCAACGTATTAACATTGAAGGGGATGTGTTAGTTGGTAAGAATACCCGTGGACTAATACATCTCATTAATGTTGAATTATGCACATGGCAATCACTGAACTCTGATATCGCTTTTTCTTCCAAATTCGTGCTTTTAATAAACATTTTGGCATTCAATACCGAATTCAAATTTTCTCCCTTCAATTTGAAGAACAAAATTTTACAATATTTTATCTTGGATGAAACCAAGTATGATTTAATGGATGAAAAAATTTAATATTTCATATAATTTCTATGAATGCCTATCCAATTCAAACGGTTCAAATGCAGTGACTTTAATCTGTTACGAATTTAGAATCTTTCAGGTCTGTAAGAAATTCAAGACATACCAAAACTTCAATCACTCTACCACCACTTTGGAATGTTTCTTCGGGATGGATTCTTTTGATGATTGGATCATTCCGATATTCAAATATTCCATGGAGAATTTTGGTACTTCGATCAATAGTAATCCAGATTGTTCGAAAAACGCCTGCTTTATCACTTTGACTTGTTAAGCATGTTATTGACGAAGGTAATAAACTCTAAAATAAAGCATTCCAATTATATAGTATACCTATTTTAAAACTTTTTTGCTGAGAAAAATCTTTCAAGCTCTATCGCATGCATCATTGACACGGGTTTCTTCCTCAAATTATTGAAAGAGCGATCAGAAATGCAAAAAAATTTTCACCGAAATTTATCAAATCTTCTATGAGAATTGCTATCAAGCAAATCTTTATTTTTTTTAGTAATCTTTATTCTTCCATGTTTTGACCCCACTTGGGTTAACACTCATTCCTTAGTGCGAATGGCATAAGTAACCGGTTATTCTGGTTTTTTTACGTGCAGTTTTATACTTTTGAAATTCACTAAGTTTAGAATCAATAAATAAGAAAAGCCTTTTCTATCAAAGAGAAAACATCTGTTTTCTCTGACTGGTTTTTGAATGGTATCATCCTTTGATTTTGCGAAGGTACAAGAATTAATTGTCCGTATTGAACGAATAAAAAATTCTCGTTGGATCGAATTTAAATTTCTCCAACACAAAAATTTACAAAATTCTATCAAGTTTTGCAATAACAACTTGGAGAGGAGGTATATCAAAAAAGGGAAGTGGTAACTTACTTTTTGCAACACTTCGCAAGGATAAATTCCTATGCGAATTGAAGTATTGCTTCCGGTGTCCAAGTTGCTGCCGTAGATGGTCAATTTGGTGCCACCTGACAAAGGTCCAAATGAAGGATAGAGTGAGAGTGGTTGTGGATCAACGAATTGATAGACCATGGTAGAATCAGCAAAGCGTCGACCGGTTTGTCCAAGACGTAAATGAACCGGACCGGAACCAATTCCAGCACTCACTTCACATAAAATCCTGCAATGTTCAATAATTGTTTGTGTTGGAAGACAAGCTTGTCTAAAGTTTACATTAAAAGTGATTTTACCTGGAAGCTATTTTAAATTCGATAACTTCACATCTGGAACTTCCGACAAAAATGCGACCCTTAATTTCGCTCAATGATGATCCTAAATCTCGACCACGAATCTCGATCCTGGTACCACCTTCAACTGGCCCCGATTGTGGCTCAAACTGAAAATATTCCAAAACACGCTATAGAGAAAAAATTGAAAATTTTTTGAAAATAAATTGCAGGAAATCATTAAAAAAGCACAGTGTCGATAACTGGTTGTCCACAAATCAGATCTGGCGATTGCATAATGGCCGATTGTTGACAGTGGATGTTAAATTTGCAGGCACTATCGCACCATGCACATTTCCAGCTTGGGTCCAATGAAAGACATGTTGAACAGTCTGCAGCCATACGGCTACAGTCATATATGATCACTTAAAATTGAATCATAAGGATTAGCCTGCATGTTTTTTGAAATTTTAATTTGAATTTAAAATCATATGAAAAATAAAGGAAAATATACTTTACGCATGTTTACTGAAAATTTAAAAAATAATTTTCCCATTTACTTTAGTTCTTAATCTTAAATTAGGTTTCAAATGAAGATAGAAGTACAACAATTGAAATGTTCAAAAACCCGATGACTTGTCAACGACGGTTCCATTTTTAAGCACTTCGAGCTGTAAACTCATTTGCGAAGTATTTCCGTTCAATATTTTCGTATAATTCCATGGACCACAGGAGAATTTGGATTTTTTAAGTGAAGCATTCCGCATAACTGTGTTACTTTCGTAGCGGAAACAACAGGTTAAATGCGGTTCCTCTTCATCATTAATGTGTAACATTTGCATTGTAATCATCTGGTCACTGTCCACTGCTACGGTCATTTTATTTCGCACTATAGGATCTATCTGTGGACAGGATTTTGTACCACCCTGAAATTTCCTTTTTCAATTTTTTGACTTGAAATTTCTAGATTCAATAATTCAAATTTATGTTATTATCTATTAATTTTTAAACTCACTCGGCATTTCTCATGAAATGCGAGGCACATATTTTCCATGTCACACCACTGACAATTCCACGATGATGACATGCACGACATGCAACTAAAAAAATTCTTTTCAATAAAATTTGATGTTTCTAAAATTAAAATTACAATGAAAGATGTTTTATCGTTGTTCTTTTAGAGAAAGTATTCTTTTCTTGCCGCTAAATACGTGAAAGGAAAAATGGGCATTGAAAATTTAATAAAAACTTACAAATTATGATAGGCGCAATTGAACATTTGAAGTTCTTGAGTGACAATTGGGTTTTTGAATCCATTATAGTAAATGGAAATATTCATTTTTCGAAATTCTTCTATTGGTACCGTAGTACGAAAAGATGGTACATGGCACATTACACCTGTACCTGTCCATTGTCCCTTTGCTATTACATTTTCAAATGTGCAAGTGTACCTCTGAAAATTTGGAAAATTTGAAGCTGTGAAAAAATTAAAATAGTTTGGACAATCTTAAATATTTGCTGTTATTTCAAACACAATAACTTTCTTAATATCTAATGTCATTTTTAAATTTTACGGCAAAAACAAATTTAAATTTCGTACCTGGGAATGAATGGAATTAAAATCGCAATATGAAGTTAAGGAAAAGGAGGAACAAAGAGTAAGTTAATTAATCTAAGAATGAAATTGGAATTGAAAAGTAGAACGATTGGTCATCAATTAAGCATTCATTTCTTGCTAGCTTTTTAAAATGAAAAATTTTCAACTAAAATTTCGAAATATAAACTTCACAATAACATTTTGTGTGTTCAGTTGGATGCCACGCATTGGAAACAGCACAGAAACATTCTTTAGTGAGCTGGATAAAGTGTATGGAACTGGGGTGTCAAATATTGGACAAATATCTGTGATTATTGTCGACGTGCAACTGACCCGCTCAGTACAGACACCTCGAAGGAAGCACCAACCACAGAGATAATGTTCAGTGATGCATTCAGAACATGTTTTAAACGTCTCACAATCACTTATTAAATATTTCAGGATCTAAAAAACATATTTTGATGTGTTTCCTTTTCCATAATTCAATATATTCAAAAAAGTGTAACAAAGGTACTGTTGAGTTTTTAAAAATACTAAAAAAGCAGTAAATAACAACTTTCATTCTTTTGGTAAAACTTCGAATCCTTTTAATTTTTTATCCTTCCGAATTTTTTATCTTTTTAATCCTTTCGAATCATTCTCACCATTTAAAGGTATTATTAATAGATTTATTATTCATTTTCATTATTATATACTTCAGAAGAGATAAGAATTACATAACACCTTCTGATCTTGCACTTTTTCGTGCAAGCTAAAAAAGTTAACAAATTACGATAAATTAAACTTTTGACTAAAAAGAATCAGAAAATTACTTTTGATCCTGCGATAACCAAATAATAGCGATCATCGACAAATGTTACTGCGGTTATCGATGCATCTATTTTGAATTGTTCGTATTTTGCAAATAATAATCGTTTTCCCCTTAGCTGTAAAGCTTGCAGTTAATTTATTGAAAATTTGAGCTTACATATAAGATGGATTTTTTTAGAGCGAATAAACAAATTAATGAAAGAGAATTATCCGAGCAACTCTAATTAAAAGGGAATTTCGGGATTCCATCCCTGCCATAACATCAAAGAATGAACAAAGAACTGAGGAGCAAAATTTTACCTGTATAATGAAAGCATTTCCTGTTCCAATAATAATAATTAAGTTATCAAAGAAGGGAAGAACATCCATGGATTTAATAAACATATCTACTTCATAGATGGCGATTTGTCCACATTCAATGTTTCCGCCAACACCCATAGCACATGTATTCTCTGACAATGGCAGATGTGATTTCTGAACATTTCCACAGTAAATTTTTATTGCAAATACGAAATTTTTGAAAAAAAGCCTTAGTTTTTTATAAAATATCACAGGCAGCAATATTTGTTGTTTTTTTTCAACTTTAACGTAAAAAGAATTGCAAAAAATTTTAAACTGATTTTAAATACAATAAAGCTTTAATATGAATCGGTTCACATTCATCATTTTTTGCTTCTCTGATTCAATCCTGAACTAATTCGAATGTCATCATCCTAAGGCATCAATCTATTCATTTTAATAATGGATGCTTAAAAGTTTTAGCATTAAAATGAAAATTATAACTTACATTAATACACCTATTGTCGCGCCCAATGTGAGGTAATCCAACGGTATCTGTGCCTATACGACATCTATCTATGTTGTACCAAAATGTTAATTTGATTTTTTGCATTTTGTAGATGCAAATCGCTGAGTGCTTGATATTTTCATCAGTGAATGCAACGATCAGTGTATTATTAATAAGTGAAGCAGCAGTTGCACGATTGTAGTTGCTGTTGTCAATTCCACGACATTGAATTTCAATTTCGCCGTACGATATGTACCTGTTTAAGTCAACTATACCTAGTTTTTGAGAAATATGCAAATCATCTGATGTCAACCTTTGAATTAGCAAGTAACTTAGAAAACTTGACAATTGTTTGATTATTTTTAATAAACAAAGAATAAATGAAAAACCATATATTCTAAAAATTTCCAAAATTTGATCTTTCTTTTAGTTTCCAATTAAGCTTGATCTTTTCAAAAAAAAAATTCGAAAAAGAAGAAATTTTCAATGTTTTTAATAACCTGTGTTCTTCGCGACAAATTCTTATTAATTTGGAAACAGTAAATGGTGGACTTCCATTTGACAAGTATTTATTTTGCACACTTAGATAGTAAACATAGTGCTCGTGGAAAAACGCTGCAACGAAGTGAACACGAAAACGAGAGTGGTACTCAGCTCGGATGTGAACTGCTGCTTCACCCTCCAATGACCCGGCCCCAACAACATCGTAATTAGGTGGCTCACGGGTTGACACTAATGGAAGTGATTCTCTGGAAAATGAGTTATGAATTAAGTGGAAAAGGAAGATGAATAAATAAATAAGTGGATGAACGAGATATTATTGTAAAATAACAGTTTCATGTAATCTAAGTTGCAAAATATGAGTTCAAATATAGACTTTCCATATTTTCTGAAATGGTTTTCTTGCTCAATAGCTATCACTAATTTAAATAAATCAAAAATTGATGATGTCAATTTGCTGCAATTAGTTGAAGAACGCATTTTTGAATTTAAAAAATCATAACTTAATAGAATTTTGAGTTTTCGAAATTTAAAGTCAGTTTAACAAAAAGACTTTGTGATTCGAATTCAAACCATTTATGCTACACAAAAAAAACTTTGTTTTAATCTATGTATTATAAGTTACAAATTGAGAAAAACAAAGAATTTCAGACTTACCCATACGGTGAATCATTGAGGACAGTAGCAGCGACATATAAATTATCACTGTTGTCCACCAATGATACACAGCTGGCACTGATATCATTAGGCGCAACTGTTATGGAAGAATTGCTGAGTACGCTTAAATCATCTGTTGACCTGATTTGACATATGCCTTGTTTCATAGCAGCACAAACAATCAAGCCTCCATTGGGTAAAATATGCATGATCTTAGTAACATAATCGGTAAGAGATGGAATTGCACCAGGGAGACATGAGCTGGTATCGTAATTACACAATGGGCTATCAGATTGAGGGCCTACTCTTTTGTCTTTCAACACTTTGAGATCATTCAAATCCAGGATCGACAAATGGTTCACTGATGATATATACACCTGGAAGATTTTCCGCGGTGAATGATTTTTGTTACCAGCTATAAACTTGCTTAATTTTCTTTAAAACCGATATTCTGATTTTAAATAACAACCATGGAATAGCAATGGAGTGTGATCGACTAAATGGATTAAATTAACCGCCAAGAGTTTCAGAAAACCAATGGACATGCTACTTTGAGTCGAGGAGATAAGATTAATGCTAAATATAAAGTTTAGCATTACGAACCTAGATTGAAAGGGTTGTACACCGTCGTGTATAGAAAGCTGCGTGATCGCCAGAAAACTTATATTGACTTATAATTAATTTTTATAAAAATAAGAATAAATGAAACTGGACAGAAAAGTGACAGTTTAAAAACTAAAACTTTAATTTCTTTAAATGAAATTTTATTTAATTAAACGAAAAGTGATATTGTTTACCAGTTTTTTTTACTTTTTATTTTCAAACGAGTGATGAATTAATTGTCTGCTTGCCACAAAGCGGTAAATAATAAACATCGAATATCGAATATCGAATATTTCTTAATCTTATTTCGATTCTTTAAAAATAGAAACGAAAAATTGATATTAGAAATGATTGTATGAATGATACCCGATCTTTAATGATGTCAAAGTGAAATATTTGCGTTTGCAAATCATTTTCTCCAATCAGTTTACGAGCCCACAACACCTCGATAATGGTGCATAATGTAGTTACAGTAATGACCATTTAAGCATCCTGCAACTTAAAATTTTAGAAATTTTTTATGCTGTAGAAAAATTAAAAAAATTATTTTAAAAAAAATTCGAAAAATTATTAAATTATTTTAAAATTATTTAAGTTTACATTTTTCTAAAATAATTCCAAAAAAAAAGGAAAACTGAATAACTGGTAAGTGGAAGAGTCAGTTCGACAGCCTCGATAATCGATTTTACTTAAATTATTTCTAAATTTAAAACATCCTAAAATATTCTATTTATATTTTATTTCATATAGAAACCAAGCATATTTTATATAGAATTCTAAAAATTTCTGAGTGTAAATATAATCTTAGGATGTTTTAAATAAATATAAATATATAAATGTTGTAAATATAAATATAAATATAGTGTAAATAGTAAATATAATAAACTTTATAATATAATCAATTGGGCTCTTTATTTTGAAATCCAATAACGAAACAATGAAATTCAAGTTTCCTAACTGAGAAAATGGTGAACATCTTTAAAATTCCATTAAAAAAGTTTCTTCTGTCTAGAAATTGAAAGTATTTGTATTCAAATTGGAGTAATTTGAATACAAATACTTTCAGTCAATGGAAATGATTTCAAGCAATGAAGAGAGATGGAAGAACAAAAAAGACAAATTCTTGGCTAAAATAACGAACAAAGTTAATGTATCCGGTAAATGTATCCGATTAAATGCGTATGGGTAAATGCAAAAAAGAAAAGACATAAGAAGGTAAATAAACGAAGACGCAACTTATTCGTTCTGTTCGGTATAACGAAACTTTCCATTAAAAGTTTGATCATTCTACATCATTCAATGATACATAACTGTTTGTCGGTACTAAATGGTTATTTTGCAATAAATTAAGCACATTTCAAGACACTTCTACGATTTTTTCAATTTAGGTTCGAAAAGATCTAGATTGACCAAAGACCTGATGATCTAGAAAATGCCAATAAAGAAATTCGGCTCAATGTTTAAAAGAATAAATGAAGACAAAATTAGATGAAACTTTTGTTAAAGGAGAAATTAGAGATTTTGAAAAATAAAAAATTTAAACAAATTGAGTGACCAAAATTTGAGGCTACTGATTGATTATCGAAGAAATGAGGAGCTAAGATAGCATTGAATGGTTATTTTAGAAAAGATTGGGCAGAAATAATTTTGATGAATTGAAGAAATTAATTAAGAGCATGGGAGAGAAGAATGCCTAGCGACAAGGGAATAGAGCTACCGCATGAACACGCAATGCTATTAATTATTTTACCAAAACTAATTGTTCTGCTCGTTGAACCCTTTCGCGACAACGATCAATAAACAAATGAACAACCAATAAATTAATCAGATCTGAGAATAGTGGAAAATTAAGCTATCACACTCATCCTTTATGTCAGCTAGAAAAAGGATAAATGACATCAAAAACCCGCAATGCTGACATTTACACTTCAGCATGAGAAAGCTTGAAATCATGAAAAAAATCCCCATCGGAATTCAACAGTGTTGCCCATTTTGCTGCCACTCGACCAAATATGAAATTCAATTTTGTCCATCTTTACAACAAAAGTCATTTTTATCTGTTTATGCCAGCTTTCTTCCTTTTTTCAATCTTAGCATTCCAAAAAAATTCAAATTTTCATGATCTTGTCGATAGCAGACAAGAACAAATGATAGTTGCAGTAAATTGTAAATGTAAAAATGAAGATTTAACGATTATCAAATGAGAAATAAATGGGATTAGTGAACGAAATTTGACGGGAAAAGTTGAATCACAGTGAACTATTTGTCCTTGATTCATCAGGATACAGGAAATCTATTTTAACTGAATTATTAATGTCCACCTAGCTTCTCAAGGTTCTTCAGTCTTTTACAGTATCTGGTTTCTTTTCCACTCTATTTTTTCAAAAAATTTAGAATATGGTCAAATTATCAACAAATCAACATTTGTTCTTTTGAATTTATTATCAATAAAATAATGCATTAAAAAAACCTGAAATTTCAATAATTGTTTACAAACAGAGAGAATAGTCTTGTCCACTCTAACAATTCAAAATAACTTATTGAGTTATATTTTGCATTTTAAAAGCTTTAAAAATGCCTAAAAACAGTACTATTCGTAATAAATACAAAATGTTGAATAACAGTTTAATATATATACTTTTTCTGTCATTGGAAAAAATAATTAAGCAGTGTGAGAAAAATCTTGATAGGTATGGATGGGTTCGTGGGTTCGCTCTAAAATGTTTTTCATCGTGAAGTCTAAGCTTCCTTTCCCCTCCTTAATATTCTACTTGAGTGCATTTTGTCAAATACCCTATGAGTATTTTACATTATCATCTGCAATAATCATCATTTTAAAATTACATTATCATCTGCAGTTTATTAATGTTTTGATTTTCAAAATGCATGCAATATCTGATCCCAACCCTTCAAAAAACAGCCAGAAATTGAAAAACCTTGAATCAAATGCCAGTGTCGAATTAACAGAGTTTGAAACAGATCAGGAGGAAATCTCTAAGTTCATGAACCTAAAAGCTTTCATGATGTAAGCTCAGCATGAAAAATATGCTTCCTTTAAATTCATTACTAACTGGGATACAAAACATACTGAGAAAAAAATATGTTGTGTAGAGAAAGTAGTTGGAAGTGAATTTAACAAAAGTTTTAATTTAAAAAAAAAAAATAGTTTCAGAGACCAAATGAAAAAGCATGAAATGAATAACAGTACAAAAATTCAATAACAATCGAAATCGAACCATGCTTCACTTGAGATGTTTGAAAAAGTTAAACTGAGCTTTTGATAAATCCTTGTCACAGAAACAAAAGATTAGTGTATTAAAAAGCTAATACAAGTAACTTCCAGGCAGTAAAGTTTTAAATTCATTGTGATGAATGATAGGTTAGTTCTTAAGCCAATAAATCGGCGAACTGGATGTTAAATTTTATTTCAAAAGACTTTAAAATATTATCTACTCTTCTTGAGCACTTATATGCAATAAATAATCAACAACTACAAATAATTATTATAAGTTCATCATGGAATACAAATAACGAGGACATTTACAAAATTATATAAGTAATATTAGAGTAATAAATAATATTACAATAATTAGGATAATATGCTATGATAATATGCTTTTTTTCAGAAACAAAAACATTTCAAAATAATTCTAAATAAAGAGGCCGAATTTTTTTCCCCGGAATTTTCAAATATCAATGAAAGATAGAATAAGTGACAATAGAAAGCCATAATAAAAAAAGGATATCTCCAGAAGGCAAAAAAATAAGTGCACATATGCAGGAAGAAAATTCATAATGTTATCAACATTCAGATGCATTTCTCTACTACAAAAATCTTTGATTTAGGATTGGTATAAACGAAACATTCGTGAAAACAAATCCATATTTCCTTACCAGCAACATTGTCAATCAACTAAGTAAGAATCACAAAATTTGAGATGCTAAACCTTATTCTGCATTTCAAATATTGCAATTCAAGTTTAATACAATGAAAATTTTATGTAAAAGAAATGAAACAACCAGTAAACAGGAGACCAATAAATATGAATCGTATATATGTATGGATGAATATATGAAAACTATAGGATGAAGCAATTTAAACAGAACATTTTAATTGTCAAAAATAATAGCAATCTGTCTTGTTTTATGAAATGCCTGATTTATGGATTTTCTTCATCACTTGAGGAACCATCACATGCGCTTACCGCCTCAGTACCGTAATAACGATCGCCAAAATTACCCATTCCCGGAATGACATAGTATAATTCATTGATATGCGGATCTACTGCAGTTGTTATTAAAGCAACCTGAAAATCAACAAATACCATAATCACTTTTGCAACAACAAGAATTTTTGATCAATGAGTTTCGATGTTGAGACATACTTTAGGAAAAGCATAAGCAAGTGAATGTACGCCAGTTCCCGCCATAAGCAATGATAATAACAGAATATTTTCTTCCAGCACATCATGATCCAGTAGTACACGAATAGCCATCATTGCCGCCGCGCCTATAACAAAAGATAT